TACTTAGAAGGCTAAGGCAAGAAGATTATGATTTTGAGACCAACACAGGCTACAAAGTGTGTTCAAGGCTTGTATGAATTGCATAGTGAAACTCTGTCTCAAAAAGACAGTAAGTCAACGGGGAAAAAAAAGACTCAAATCCATGCAATTAGGAATGAAAAGGATGAAATCACAATGATCTTGCAGAATCCAGAAGATCATTTACCCCTGCTTGAAGATCCTATATTGTCATAAGAAGGAAAATGAAAAAGAAATGGACAGAATCTTAGATACCAATAAAATACCAAAAGCTGAATCAAGAAGATATGAAAACACCTTCCAAAAGCAAAAGCAAATGCAAAGCAAAGCAAAACAAAACAAAAACCTGTTAACAAAGAAAAATCCAGGTCATCACAGATTCACTGCTGAATTCTACAATAAATTTAGAGAAGAGCTAATACTGCTACTTCTCAAACTCTTTAATGAAGTTGAAAGAGAAACAATACTCCCAAATTTATTCCTGGAAGGAAGCATTACAAAACTACAGAAGGACCCAACAAAGAAAGAGAACTATAGGCTAATTTCCCTAAAGAACATAGATGCAAAAATCCTCAGTAAAATACTGGCAAACAGAATTCAGCAAATTATCAAGAAGATTATACACTATGACCAAGTGGGATTCACCCCAGGAATGCAGGTATGGTTCAACACATGCAAATCAATAAATGTAATATACTCTATTAACAGAACCAAGGACAAAAACCATTTGATCATCTCAACAGATACAGAAAAGGAATTTGACAAAGTCCAAACTCATTATAAAAACCTTAAAGAAAATTAGAATAGATGATCTTTATCTCAATCTGGTAAATGCTATCTATGACAAAGCAACAGTCAACATCATACTAAATGGACAAAAACTGAAAACTTTCATTCTAAAGTAAGGAACAAGACAAGAATGTCTGTCACCACTCTTATTCAATACAGTTCTGGAAACATTAGCCCGAACAATTAGACAAGAGAAAGAAAAAGAATAAAGAGAGGAAAGAAAGAAGTTAATTATATTTGCAGATGACATGATACTTTTTTTTTTTTTTTTTTGTGGTACCAGGGATCAAACTCAGGACTTCACCCTTAGCAGGCAGACGCCTATGCCACTGAGCTAAATCCCCTGCCCATGATGACATGATACTCTACATAGAAGATTCCAAAAACTCTACCAAAACACTTCTGGATTTAATAACCAAATTCAGTAGTAACCTTCCTATACACAAATAACAAATTCGTTGTGAAAGAAATTAGAGAAACTACATCTTTCACAATAGCATCCAAAAAAAATGAAATACATAGGAATCAATCTAACCAAGGAAGTAGAAGGCCTTTATATTGAAAATGACAGTACCTTGAAAAAGAGATTGAACAGGATAACAAAAAATAGAAAGACACCCCCTGCTTTTTGGTAGCAAGAACTAATACAGTGAAAATAGCCTACTTCCAAAATTGTTACACAGATTTAATGCAATCCTGATCAAAATATGTTACAGAATTAGAGAAAATAACCTAAAATCCATTTGACACCAGAAGAGACCTAAAATAGAAAAGGCAATTCTGGGCAACAAAGGAAAGTCAGAGAACATCATAATCCCTGACTTGAAATACAAAAATACTATGATAAAAACAGCATGGTACTGGAAAAAAAAAAAAAAAAACCAGACCCAAAAATCAGTCGGACAAATTAGAAGATGAAAAAACACCTCCAAACATATTAAGCCACCTTATCATTGGCAAAGGGGTCAAAAAACTTTGTTGAAGAAAAATAGCCTCTTTAATTAAATGGTGCTGGAAAAACTGGCTTTCCTTATGACAAAGATTAAAACTGGATCTGTATCTTTCATCATGCACTAAACTAAAGTCATAATGGATGAAAGTTCTAAATATTAAAACAAAATATGAAATCTGCTGTGATACAGAGTAGGTAAAACTCTTGAACACATTGGTGTGGGCAAAGACTTTATGAACAAAACCCGAATCTCACAGAAACTATCACAAAGAATCAACAACTAGGACCTCATCTTATTAGAAAGCTTTTGCACAGCAAGAGAAACCACCAAAAAGTGAAGAGACAACCCACAGTGTGGGGAAAAAATTTTGTCAGCTGTTCCTCAAAGAACTAATATGTAGAATATGAAAAGAACTAAAAAAAAAAATCAGACTCCTCCAAATTTAAAGACCCAATCCAAAAATGGGCATCTGAAATAAATAGACACTTCTCAGATGAAGAAGTAGAAATGGAAAATAAATAGATGAAAAATGTTCAACATCACTGGTAATTTGAGAGATACAATTTAAAACAGTGCTGAGACTCCAAAAAATGGCTATTATCAAGAAATCAATAACATATGCTGGTGGAGCTGTGGGAGGAAAAAGGAACAGTTCTTCACTCTTGGTGGGAGTGTAGACTGGTGCAACCCTTATGGAAATCAGTGTGAAGATTCCTCAAAAAAAAAAAAAACAGGTCAAGAGGTTCCATTTGACTCACTATTCCCCTTCTTGGTATCTTCTCCAAAGAGTTAAAAGCATCATACCACAGCAATACATGCACACCTATGTTTATAGCAGCACAGTTTATGAGAGCTAAATCTTGGAAACAGCCCAAATGTTCATCAACTGATGAAAGGATAAACAACGTGTTTTGTTTTTTTTACTGCAGTGGGGTACTGCTCTGCCATAATGAAAGATACGTTTGAGATATTTCTAGTTAAACGGATGCACCTTGAGATCCTACTGTTTTTTGTTTGTTTGTCTTCATCTTTTTGAGATTGAGTTTCACTGTGCAGATTAGATGGGCCTTCAACTCAGTGATGATCCTGACTCAATCGCCTGAGTGCTGTGATTACAAGCATGTGCCACCACACCCAGCTAGATCATACTCTTAAGTGAAATAAATCGGACACACACATGTAAATACCTCATTGTTTCTTTGGTGTGAGAGACTGAAACTGTAAATAAGGACTAATATGTATAATAGATATTGTAAAACAGGAAGAAAATATTCAAATGAGGAGGAGAACTAGCGAGGGAAGAGGGGGGAGGGAAGAAGGGAAAAGAACGAAGTTAGACAAGAAGGAAAAATGAAAACAAAGCTTTTGTAAATAAGGAGGAGAAAAGGGGGATGGGGGAAAAGAATCAAGTTATATCATGTAAAGGTACAAATTCCCTATAATGAATGTGATCATTATGTGTACCTAAAATGTACAAATAAACTTGGTTAATAAAATAAATAAATAAGTTTAAGAGTTAAAACTATAAACTTTCTAGGGAAAAACTTAGAAATCATGGATTGGACAAAGATTTCCTAAATAGCACATGAAATACCAATGAGCAAAGAAAAAATAATTTCATCAAAATTTAAAATTTTTGCTTCTCCAAAGATACTAGCTTAAAAATGGCAAAGGGGGGGTGCTGGGAATTTAGCTCAGCGGCATAAGCACCTGCCTTGCAAGCAGGCAGTCATGAGTTCAATCCCTGGTACCCATAAAAAAGACGAAAAAGACAAAAAAAAATGGCAAAGGATGCCACAGTGTATCAGAAAAATGTCTGCAAAACATGTACCTAGTAAAAGATAAATAATTTACAACTCAATAATGAAAACACGAATCCAATTTTTTGAAAGGGGCAGAGGAGTTAAAAATACTTCATATAAGAAGATACATGGATGGCAAAGAAAAAGAAAAAGACCCTTAGAATCCTTAGTCATTAGAAATATGCAAATTAAAATCTCAATGTGATATAATTAACTACCTAACAGAATGATGAACATTAACAAAACTGACAATATTAAATATTGACAAAATATTGGCAATATACAAAGCAACAGGAAAGTTTATACCTTGTAGGCAGGACTACACCATAGTCCAGCCACTCTAGAAAATATTTTGGTATTTTGTTCATTAATTGATAAAGAATAAACAAACAGTGGGAAATCCACACAATTTGATGCTAAGCCATTCAAAGGAATGAACTATGGATACCTGAAACAACATAGATAATCTGGGAAGCATTATGCTAAGTGAAAGAAGACAGACACAAAAGACAACATACTGCATGATCATATTTATCTAAACATCTAGAAAAGGCAAAATTGTGTGACAGACAGTGCTTGCCAAAGGCCAAGGTATTGGGCAAACCTAACTACAAAAAGGCAAAAGCAAACTTTTTGAAATGATGAGAATATTCTGTATCATACAATTTTATTAAAACTCAGTTAAATATACACTGAAAAATTGGTAACTTTTACTGAATATAAACTATACATCAGTAAGGCTGATTAAAAGAGTAAAGACATGAACAGGTCATTAACAAAAGAAGTAATTCAAGTAACAGACGAAAAATGTCCAGCTTTACTAGTAATCAAAAAATACACTACTATCACTGTTCAGCTAAGAAATTGGTTAAAATGATTATATTCAAAGTGATTACTTCAAAGTAGGAATTCTTATACCCTGCTGGAGTGTCAGTATGAAGGTACAGTTTTTCTTCCTGAGAACACAAGAATATTTTAAAAGCCTTAGATATATTCCAATTATGTGCTCAAATACTTTAAAGTTTAATAATTTTTAAAGAGTAAATCATCAGGAAGATGCAAGGAAAGATCACAAAACTATAAACAAACATTTATATAGCACTATTTATAGAAGCCTGTTAAATTATGATTCTTTGAGAACTGAGGTGTATTATATAATAGTACCAACTCCCCATCATGAATGTACATGTTGTAATGTAATGATTACATAAAAAATCATAATTCTTTTAGAGGATGGGGAATTATGCAGCCATCTAAAATCCACATGTAAATGCAAATTCACAATGTTTTTCTAGGTATAAGAAATAACCATACTTCTAAGTAGTTACCACTAAAAACCCTTTACTGATGAATAAGAAGCCCAAGACTTCAGACAAGTGAAGCAGGCACATCTACAACATCACTACAAAGTCTACCAAAAGCTTATGGTATTCTCTACCTTTATATCACCATTGATTTCTTCCCATTCTTCTGTTGTAAAACTGGATGCTGTCGCTGCAGGTTTATCTTTCCTCAGAGCTCTACTTCCAGGAGCTAAGCCTCTAAGGCGCGTTTCACAAAATTCTGTAAGTTCAGGATAATATCCCTCATCACCAGACCTAAAAAATAATTTGTAGGTTTAGTGTTAATACCTTATTGAAAAATCTGCTGGACCAGTAGTTTGCAAGCTGGACTCTGTGGAGCCCAGAGCTCAGTAGAGATCACCCACACAGCCTGTGTTTCATCTGCTAATCTGTAGTGATACAGGGAGGAGAAAAGGAGTTCCAAAGACCCAAATTCCCATCACACACTTTAAAAGTTGAATAAATATCAGTTTTCTCCTATTTTTCATACACATGTTCAGTTTGTACCTAAGGCAATATTAAATATATAAATGGAGATTCAGTTTAAGAGGAAGGCAGACCAAATGTGGACAATGTTTCAATCAGGAGTTTCTATTCAGAATTCAATTTTTGTTTTAAAAAGGAAGAGGAATGCCAGGGATTTAGCTCAGTGGTCTAAGTGCCTACCTGGCAAGCACAAGGTCGTGAGTTAAGTCCCTGGTACCAAAACAAACAAAAAAAAAAAAAAAAAAGAGGAAGAAAATGGCAGAAACAGCTTAGAAAAACCACCCTTACATTAAACCATTAAAGAAACAAAATTCTCTCCTTGAAGAGCTAAAGAGAAGCATTTCTTCTTTTTTTTTTTGTCTAAGGAAAATTAATCATTCACCCTTCTCTTTTAGGTTTCTTCACTCTTAAATTTATAGAAAATTACAATAAATCAACCCACCACTAAAACATAGCTCAGTATGAAGGTCCTGGGTTCTGTGAAGGTACCTCCTGCCTGACAAATTAACTAAAATTAAAATTAAAATAAAGAAAGACTACTTTAGAAAACTTGAACAAGACAGGTACTTTGACGTTATAGTTTGTGTCTAGATGTCCCCCCAAAGCCTCATGTGGTCACGGGACATTTTCAGAAGTGGCTGAATCTAGAGTGTGCAGTGCTGGGATTAAGGGTGCATGATGGCTGTATCAGTCCACTGATTGCACTGGCATTGTCCTAATTCCAGTAGCCTGGATACAATATAAGGCATAGAAAGAGGCTTGTCTCCCGCTTTTGTTTTTGTTGTATTTGCTATCTTCCACCGCCATGAACTGTTGGCCCTCTGCCATGCGCCACTCTGCCTTGGAGCCAGCCAATTATGGACTGAAACCTGTACTGTTTTAATTTTGGGTGTTGGGTATTTTGTTTCAGCAATGAGAGAAAACAAACTAAGACATTTAGTTAAGGCTGTGAAGGGAAGGGGATCTAGATAGTGGGTTCTATGTCCACAGAGCTCCAGTGTAAGTGCATCTTCCCACAACCCAGTGTAAATAACTGCTGCTCCCAAAGTCAGTGCTGGCTGGTGTACATAACTTACATAACGAAGGCTGTCACTGGCACACGGCCACTATAGCACATTTTGGTATAAATGTAGACTGAGCACCCAAAGACTGCTGTTGAGAATGGACAGGTCAGGGGTTAGGGGCCTGAGGACTGCAGGGACTGTACACAGGATGAGGCCATAAGAGCAGCCGAACAGATGGACCACAACTAAGTAACTGAATAAAAGGATGTTCAACTGAGTGCACATTGTGTGTCTTCTCTGAGGGCTGCCTAAATTTTCAGTGAAGCTTCCCAGACTGACCTGGTGACAAGACAGCTGGGGTTACAGTTCAGTGCACAGCATTCCCGGGGTTCCAATACCACATCTATATATATATATATATTTATATATTATTTTTCATATTATGAATGACAACATTCTGCTGAGAAAAACAAGTATGATTTTTCATCTTTCCATTTCAGAAAGGATACAGTTATTACATTACTCAGGCTAATGGTGATGAAGGAGAAGAACTCAAGAGAGCAACAATATGGAAAACATAGAGAACAAATGCAAGAGCCACTGCCTAGCTGCCAGAATGCCGAGGCCGGAAAGGGAGGTTCAGGCTCCACAAGTGCCTTCTGAAGTAGAACCTGCTTTCCCAGGGAAAACAGCTTTAGAAACCCAAAGGAATTGATCCAGGTTGTTACTTTACAGGGCAGAGTTTCCTCAAGTGGATTTCTTGACCACCAGCACTTAGCAATCAGTCAGGTGGATTGTTAACATATATCTGAGTCGCACCCCAGATTTCCTGAAGCAGAATGCCTGGGAATGAGACCCTCAGATTTGCATTTTCAACAGCCACATCTCATGTGCAGCTCAGTTTGATTATCGCCCCATGAGAAGGTTCTGTGCCCCTCCTCTGTGGTCAGAGAACAGCAAGTGCTGGGGCAGTAACCTTCCTCCTGATAGTTGCTTTATCTTTTCATAGGAAATGTAGAGGAAGCAAGAAAAATGCCTTCCTGGGTACTCACGAGCTGTAGTCTCATGCTGGAAGTAGACCTAGCCAGAGCCTTCCAAACTAACCACAGTATCAAAACCAATGTTTTGGAACCCACTGTAGGCAACAACAACACTACTTGAACATTTTCTCCAGTATTTCTGTTGTTCCTTCAACTTTCAGAAGGTAACAACATAATGAAAGTTGGGATACCAAAACATAAATGATTTTTAGATGCTTACCTGAGCACATAAAGAATTTTTTCCAGCTGCTTAATATCTGAGCATTTTTCAATATACTTGAAATCCAAATGTTCAACAGGAATATTAAATGCTTTTGTTGTTCCAAAGCCCCACAGTGATGGATGATCTTTGGAAGTCATGCCTGAAATATAACATAGGGAAACAGATGAGAACTGGATAGTAGTGTTTATCTGAGTGTTCCAATAGGAAAAGAGATGAAGTGGTATTTCTAAGGATGGAGGTTATTCATTTTGTACTTCCCTGATAATAAGCTAACATTTATGAAAGTAAGTTACTATGTGTCATCCAGGGATCATCTCATCCAATCTTCACTTAAGCAAAACTGAGATATAGTGACAAAGCTGGTTTTGGTGCTTGGATTACTTTTTATTTATTTTCTTTCCTTGTTTTGAGACAGGGTCTCACCATGAAGTTCAGGCTGGCCTTGAACTCACTTTGTAGCCCACACTGGCCTTGAACTCCCAGTGATCCTCCTGCCTCAGCCTCCGAAGAGCTGGGATTACAGGTGTGCACCACAGCACCCAGCCTCAAATTACTTTTTAAAGTTTTTTTCTTTTGGTACTGGGGATCAAACTTATAACCTCATACTTCCTTAGCAAGCACTTAAGCGGCTGAGCTAAATTCCCAGCCCCTAAAATATTTTTTAAAGTTGATGTTGAATGACTTTATGCTTTAGCTATTTGTCCACATCCCAATTATTTGAATTGGCACAAATACTAACAACATCCTTTCTGTACTTCTTTCCTCATCCCTTGCCTCATTACATTTCCTATACTGCCACTCACTGCCATCAATGAGTAGTTCCCAGGATTGTATTCTAAAAGAGTCTGTACATACATAGGTAGTGCTTTATAGCCTTTAAGAAATGCGGGTTGAACTGAATTAGGAACAAGAAGGACCTGGACACTGTGGTTTGAATGCCACTGCTACTAAGGATGGAGACAATAACCACTGCAATACTGATATAGTTCTGGGCACCATCCTCAGCACATGTGATATATGACATATAAGTGTACACTTAACATTTTATTATTTAACCCTCCAACTACTATATCAGGGAAGTTTTTGTTTTATGTAAAAGAAATAGTAACAGTTGACAATTATAGAATTGAATTTCCATGTGACATAGGTTACCTTGTTTAACCTTCAAAACCACTCTTATGAAAAATATTAATGACTACTTTCAGAGCTAGGTAACTCAGTGACGGAACAATTGACTAGCATATCTGAGTCCATGAGGTTAAATCTCCAACACTAAAAATAAACTAAAAAGTAATAAAATGTTTCTAATTACTCTGATTTTATAGATGAGCAAGGTAACAAATCCTCTGCAGAAATGAATCTCAGTAGACTACAGAGTGCACATACTTAACCATCAGTACTAGGCTTTCCAAACTACAGGTCCCGATTCGTGAAATCAATTTAGTGAGTTGCAATCAGCATTTCTTTAAGAGTGACAAAGTTTCTTGGAGAAAGTAAAAGTGAATAGTGGCTTTGTGGAGCAAAAGAGCTGAGTGAAAGAGGAAAAGGTAAGATAAAAGAACATCCTGGAGAAATCAGGGTGAGCTACTGTGAGGAAAGGCCACAATAGCAAGCTCTTCCTGTGGTGCCAGGTCTCAAAGAAACCCACCAGAACATCTACATACAGGTCCTGCGAGGCAGTTCAGGGGTCTCACACCTCAGGCTGATGTCAGGTCTAGGCCATTTTCCACTGAAGACCAGCTCCGCTTCTCACAGGTCCCAGGGCTTTGGGAACTGTGTGTCCAGGATTGTTTTATAATGAGATAAATTTAAAAAGACTATCTGGCATATAACACCAAATATTATTTTATAAAAATTTTAGTCTGTGTCTATCTACATGGAAATTGTGCATGTGTAAATGCACACGGTTGCAAAGCGAAATATATTTTCATTAGGAGTCACTAGCAAAGTTTTTCCTTTTTTTTTTTTTTTTTTTTTAACAAATGCAAGGTCAGGGATTTAGCTCAGTGACACAAGTGCCTGCCTGGCAAGTGTGAGGTCATGAATTCAATCCCTGGTACTAAACAAAACAAAACAAAACAAAATGCATTAAAACCTATTGGGTGAGCATTTTTTTAAAAAAAGGAAAAATAAGTCTAAGTCACAGAACTATTTCAGCATGAATTCCCTCTGGGAATCTGACCATATATCAAGCCTGTGCAGAGAAAGAGACCTCTGTCAATTTTTCCACATTCCTGCCGGCGTAGAATTGGGTACGAACGCTTCTGAGGCTTTGGGATAAGACCCAACTGAAAAGTTAGACCGGTTTTTACACCATACGGCAGGGCTTAGAATGACAAATGGCTCCTGTCACAAGGATAATAAGAAGCGGGGCTGGGGGTTTAGCTCAGCGGCATAAGCACCTGCCTTGAAAGCAGGAAGTCGTGAGTTCAATCCCCGGTACCGATAAAAAGGAAAAAGACAAAAAAAAAAAAAAAAAAAAAAAAAAGGATAATAAGAAGAGTGAAAGTACAGGAAAAAAAGATGAAGAACTTTTAAATTATTGACACTGCACAGAATAGAAAGGGTGCCTACGGAGAATTTTCCAAAGAACTGGAGGATCTTTTATGAGAAAGAATTAAACATCTAATAGGATTTAAAGAGATTAAGATAAACTGAAAGTATCTTGCAACCAAGGACATTTGAATTTGAATAAACTATAATGAAAAACGTGAAATGATAGAACATCTTACCCAAATTTCATTCTAAACAATACTCTCACATATCTCTGAAACCCTTTTACAAAAACTAGCGAGCCTTTTTTCCTTGTGAGATAACATCTTCTCAAGATTACTAAAATGTCAATTCTGAAATTCGGTAAAGTCTTCCTTTACTTGCTCTCCTGAGAACTCTTCCACGTCTCTTTGCAAAGTCTTTGCTTCTGATTAGAAAAATATTTAGTCCTAGCTGGATTTAATTCCTTCTCCGTCATCCTGATCCACTTGCACTTCCCACACCATCAGCTTATCAGAAAACTTTCGTGCAAACCGCAAAGGATTAGTGGTAACCCTAGTAACTCGAAACCTGGAAACCTGGCAGTCTCCTTCCCAGTCACCTGCTTTCCAGCATCCGCAGTGCTGAGCGCCCCCTACAGATCGACCAGAAGGAACTGGCGTCCTCCAGCCGTAGCAACAGTTTCTAGGAACACTCTGGCCGGAGAGGGCAGCAGGGTCGCACTTGCCCTTCAGCTGCTCCACAGCCGACTTGTAACTGAGCTCGCTCCTCACCCCCCTGCTTTGGTTACCAGGGATGCCAGGCGGGTCAAACCCTAGAAATCCAGTGTTGTGCCCTACCCAATATCTGCTACCGTCAGTTGCCCGGACCTGGAAGATCGTTCACCGACTACGTGGTGCGCTCTCCAGCACGTGAGAGAGTGTGCTTTTCTGCATTTCACCTCCACTCTCCAAAGAGAGGCTGCGATGAGACAAGGTTACTCCAGGCGGGCAGATACACGACAGCACTCACCTGGTTCTAAGGGACCGTCCAGTGCCCTTAGCTGGTGCGACAGGGCAGACGGGGAAAGGGGGCTCTGCAAAGCCATTGGCTGCCCCAGGACGCCATCCTGATTGGCCTCGCGGGGCCCAACCTCCCGGCCCCGCCCTCACCCCAACAAAAGACTTTAAACTTGCAAAACACCCCTTCCTCTCCTTTTAATTCGTTCTTTTTAAGAGTTAAGTCTAAAAAAAAAAAGAGTTAAGTCTATTACCTTAACCTGCTGCATTCTTGCTAAGTAGATATTTGCTCTTATGGAATATTAAAACATAACTAAAATTTCAGAACCTGAACTGCAACATTTACTGAGCTCCTCCTCTTTAAACAAGAATAAATAAAACACAAGATCCCTTTTCTTTTTATGCATTCCATTTTCAGAATGCTGGTTATGTGCACTGACATAGAAAGGCAAGGAAGACATACAACTCAGATGAACAAACTAAGTCACTTGCAGTTTCCCTTTTAAATACATTTTAGACTAGTTAAAACATTAACAAAGTAGCTACTACAATGTCTATCACATAAAAGAAGCTTGATAAAGTATCATGTTTTTGCACTTAGACTGTTAGCTGGGGCTGTGATTATTACTTCCACTGGCCATGCTGGAAAATGTTAAGTTTGCATGTTTATAGATACAGACTCAAATTTTAGAGTAAGTCTTAAATTGCCTTACCAAATTCTTTATTATGGGTGCCACACGTTCCAAGTCTTGCATTTTATACCTCATTCTAGATAGCAAAGTTCCTCTAAAATTATGCTCTAAATCTCAAATAGTGTAACTTCATATTTTGAGAAAAAAATGCCAGGGATTGAACTCACAACCTCGTTCTTTCCAGGCAAATGCTTATGGCACTGTGCTAAACCCCCAACCCCTTAAGTACCAGTTCTACATGCCCTACAGTTTTCAGTCACATTTAATGTTTTTTATAATTATGTATACATTTACACTGAATAAACAAGCAAGATACAGAGCAACTTGAAGGAAGACAATATGAAAATAATCACAGTCTATATGGATACAAAAGAAAATACTTGGTCCAAGAAACAAGATGTACAGGAGAGGTCTAGTAGGTTCACATGGCCAGCTAAGGGGTGGTCTGGGTATTTGCCCTTAAAGCCTCATACCAAGGTCCGCATGGTCTACTGAGCTCTTCACTGTGCAACTCATCAATGAGTCCTTTTGATTCAACCTCAAAATGGGTTCCACAGTTACATCTCATCCTTTGTACAGTAACCACCCTGGCCCAGCTATTATCTCCGGCTTTTGTTACTAACACAGCCCTTCTACCTTCTGCTGCCACCTGGCCCTGTACAGTCCATCTTCACACAACAGCTTGAAATCATATCCCTGCTTACTGTCCGAACCGCTGTCCAATACAGCATCCCAACTTAGGCTTCTGCTCACCTCTGCAACCTCAGCTCTTCCCATTATCTCACTGTTCACCAAGTCTGTCACAGGGTCATTTAAAAGGGTAACAAGATGAGCTCACATCCCACCCCAGAGCTTTTATAATGGCTGTTTCCTCTATCTTAGTAATAGTCCTTCTGCTTTTCCTGTAGCCAGCTCCTTTCATCATTCAGTCCTCTGTTCAAGTAACCACTTCATCTTGACTACTCTACTACAAAGGACTTATTTCGGCAAGGTGGGGCTATGTGTATCTTATATATGAGAAAGCAACTTGTTTTTACATCTCTTTATATATCTATTCATTTCTGATTTCTACTATTGTTTTTTATAACTTTACACAGACAGCAAATATGCTGGTATTCTTTGTACTAAATGATGTATTATGTTTACAAACAATGACAAAGAACAGTGATTTCTACAGAACATATTTAATCAGATCTTTAGAGTCCTAGAAATCTGAATTTTTAATAAATTTTATTAAAAGTATGGTTTGGGGAAAAATTTTAACCTTTATTGTTGTCAGATTACATACACAATAAAATTAAATTACAAGTCATATAATTAAACAAAAAATTCCTTATACAAAGTATACATAGATACCTAAATACAATCTGGTTTTGAAAATGAAATAAAGATGAAACCATATAATTGTATTTCTAAGTACGTTAAATCAAAAGCTATGCAACAATGAGAATTATTAAGGGGCAAATCCAGGTATCAAGAAAGACACTTTTCTGAATTCCCATCTTTCACCGAGCATCAAAAACCACCACTGTGTTAAACTGAGTTAAGGACCAAAAATATGTAAAAATAATAAAAGACTTCACTTTCTCCTTGTGGTAAGATAATTTGCTATTCTATCTATCTATTTATCTTTGACTTTTAAAACAAGGTTTTACTACGCTATTCAGGCTGGCCTCCAACAGGCATGATCCTCCTGCCTCTGCCTCTGGAATGCTGGGATTACAGGCATACGCCACCATGCACAGCCTTCTATTTTATTTAATGTATACAAAAAAGTAGAACTACTTACTATGATAATTGCAGTTTATCTTTTAAAGACTTTCATTTTTTATACAACCTTTTTCAGATATAAAAGCCAATGTAACAAAACCATTAAGCAGGGGCTGGGGGTTTAGCTCAATGGCATAAGCGCCTGCCTTGAAAGCAGGCAGTCGTGAATTCGATCCCCGTTACTGATAAAAAAGGAAAAAGACAAAAACAAAACAAAACAAAACAAAAAAAAAAACCATTAAGCAGCATTAAAGGGGATAACTTGATTTTAAAGAATTTGTTAGTTACCACATAAAAATTTATTTCCTGTATTTGCGCTAATTTGTTAAGCCGTATTTTCATTAGTGTATATTTACATTTCTCCTTGTATAATTTAGTCTGTCCATAAACTGAAGCTCAAGGAGTACTTAAAAAGTACAGCATCCCTAAAAAAAAAATATACTTAGGAAGGGGCTGGGGGCTTAGCTCAGCGGCATAAGCACCTGCCTGGCAAGCAGGTGGTCGTGAGTTCGATCCCTGGTACCGATAAAAATGAAAAAGACAAAAAAAAAAAAAAAATACGCTTAGGAGAAACAAAATAATCAGTGTTTATGTACAGCCTATACACTGCTCTATGAAAATGGTGATCCTGCTTCTAAAATAATCCAAAAGTTATTACTGTTCTTACATAACTTTGTATCAAACCCAGTATTATTTTGCATTTCATATTTCGAAAGTATAGTAAAAAGGATACATCTTTTAGTTCTTTTCTTGTACATTATTCTGTATCCACATTCTCTACATCTGATAGGATCCCTGGATTTAATTTCATTTTCTGTGTGACATTCTAGAAAAAGAAATCACATTTATTCAAAGGCTAGAAGAAAAACATTACAGACAAGCAAATCATTTTAACCATATTTTCTAACCAAAAGCAACCCATAGCACTAATACACACTCAGTTTCTTTTAAAAAAATTTTATTAGCACAGTACATGTTCATAGTGATTACATTCATGTGGGGAGTTATGTACATGTATATAACACATTGTAAATATACTGATATTGCTAAATATACTAAGGAAAGAGTTGTCAGCAATGGCACTTCAGGTGAAAAAGTGAAATCTTAAGATTTTTTTTAATGGTTGCTAAATATCTTTAGTGCTGTTACTTTATCTAAGTGCTACTCTTACCTCCACAGATATATATCATTGGCTGCTGCTTTGGAGGTTGAACGTCCTGCTGAGAGTCCATTGTTAGTCTCTGAAATCAGATTTAAATACTGAATATTATCTCAAAGAAGCTCCTCATGCAACCAACCAGGCCCCATTTTTCTCAGCAGAAGCTAAAAAGATTACAATTTATCTGTGCTTTTCCCCCAAGCTCTGTGAGTCCAGGTAAAGGACGAAACGCAAAGTAAAGAATACTTAACGTACAATGGACAAAATAATAAACTCCTTATACATGTTATTTCATTATAAATTTCACCACAGGGCCAGCAAGTATAACTTTATCGATGAAGAAAGTGGGGGCTTAGAGAAGTTAATTTGCACACTCGCTCAGCTACTATCAAGCAAAAGGCTTCCGATCTGACCAAAAAGCTAGCGTTATCATTTAACAGAGGTTCCAGTCTTAAAACTTCAGCAGGAGACAGTGAAAAAATCGTATTCCCCGTGCCAAAAAAATTAATTCCCCGGTCAACAGGGAAACAGGTGAACGGAAGGAGAAAAGGCAATGAAATTAGTTCTCAGCGGCTAACCTAAAATCAAAGAACTTAAAGAGTATCGCCTCTATTCCAACCTCTCCTACTAATCCTACTGGATCATTTTTAACCTGATGTATATAATATTGGTCCAAACATCCCGCACTCTCCCCTCCCCACATATACACACCGCACGTGAGCCGCCCCAAAACCACGAACCATTAGTACCCTACCAGGAAAACACCGAGCAAGTTCTCGCCTGGAGTTTCCAACTAGAACCTCTCCGGACGCCTTCTCCGCCAACTTCCGTCGCTGACCGATGACGCAAGCAGTATCCGCCCCTTCTCCTCGGCAGCCCGGAAGTTCCGATTGCGCAGAGGCGGGGAATCCCGCGCGTTTGTGTTTACACGCTCTCTACAGAGGTGGCTAGAGTATGGTACACGTGCCACAGCCGACTGTTTGTTGCCGTTGAAAACTCCAAAAGGTTCGCCATCATTGAAAGTGCCTATTTTAGCCTTACTTTCATTTTCCAGAAAAGCAGGACTTTGTGACACTTACTTTGTGACTATATATCACAAAAGAGGTTTTTGTTTTTGCTTAAAGACGCTGATAGAAAGTAATGCTTTTCTGGAAGGACCGAGGTTTGGAAGAGAAACTGAGATAAAGGTGTCGGTAGAATCCTAAACTAGCCATTTGGGTACACAGAATAATTGGCTCCACCTGTGGTTTTACGTGTAAAAACAATTTATTGTTTTTCAGATTTAAGCTAGATCCTGTGGCTGTGGTCTCTTCTGCTTTAGCTTTTGTTTTCCAGCTCTTTCTCTTGTAATCTCCACTCATTCATTTTCCTTACTTTCTTTGTAAAGCGAAAGCCGTCATGAGGGCAGAGGGCAGCTACATCATTTGCTCCACTCAAACCTAAGGGATTTTGGTAACGTTAGCCTTCCTCAGGTCCTCTGTCCCATGTATGTATTCGATCATATGAAAAAAAAGTGACCTGTGTTCCTTCAGAGATCAAATTTTCAGTGAGATAACTATATCCGCTGGGTACACCAGATATTTTACTTATATTAGCAGTAGGGCAAAGAACACAAAGTTACTCAAATTTTAAAATGTTAATCAGTTACTAACTGTTAAAGTTAATGGGAGAGGCAACTGCCTTGCCCACTGGTACTGTTACGGCCAACAGTAAGGTGGACACTTGATGGAAGGTGGGCCAGCCAGCTGCTCTCCTAGATGACTAAGCATAGGCAACTACTTAGGACAGCCAGAAGATTCTGAAGCAGTGGCTGTTTCAACAACCAAGTGGACAGAAACTTCAGCTCCCCAGGAACTCTCAGTAACTGTCTCAAGAGAAAGGTCTGTGCCATGAGGTCCCAAGGATATTGGGATCCAATCTAAATTCCTCCTGCATTCACACCCCTACCAAGCACCTGAGGACCATTTCTGCAAACTCAAACGAGAATGAAGAGGGAGAAGGCAGTGCTTGAATTCCAAGTTTGAGAACTTACAGCAGACACCAAAGCCAGAGAGTGAAATCAGCAGGCTTCAAAGTAAACTAAAATGCAGGGAGAGAAAGGCCCTCAGCACTTAGGAGACTGATGCTTCAGACCTGAGTAGATGTAACACTACCTTCACCAGGAGACACAGAACCTTTGATAAGAACCCCTCAGGAGAAGACCAAGAACTTACAGAAAGAGATTTCTGTCCCAGAACTAAGTCTTGAAACAAAAACTGACTTAAACAGTCACCAAATTCAGAAGGGGCAGCAAGTCACACTGGTGACAGCAGCTGCCCAACATCTGTAACTCAAGAGGCAAGCTTTGGATACCCAACCGGAAATGAACTGTCAAGTGAAACTGATATTTAAAATTAAAACACATACAAAAATACACAAACGATACCCAGTTCTTCAAGCAGTGGTGTTACTAAAGCTTCTTTGTCACAAAGCACCTAGGATTTTGAGCACATCACCACTGATGTCCCATCTCTGTCTCTGTCCTCCACTGGCAGCACTTTTAAGAATGCCAAGTTCTTAAAAGTGTTTAATCACTGGAAGTTCCCCAAACAATGCAAGTGAGCTGTCTCTACTTTATGTTACAGAGAAGATACAGAAGATGGAAGGGAGTTACTGCAGAGGAGCTACAGTCCACTTTACAAAAGTTATCAAATCAACAGGAACAAACAACAGAGAATGAGAAGTTGATGGATTAGAAGGCCTATTTTAGAGACATCCTTTCATCATCGAGAGAGGGCAGAGAAGCTAAGACAAGAAAATGAGGAATTGGTAAATCTTTTATAAACGTGAATGAAGAATAATGAATCTGTGCCCAAGAAGGGAAAATCATTGAGCTAGAACAGAAACACACTTGTATTTTTGAGAAGAACCACAGTTGTTTTTGTTTTTGTATCAGGAATCAATTTAGGGCCTCTCACTTGCCAGGCATGCACTGTGCCACTGTGCTACATCCCCAGCCAGAGAAAGGCCACTTTGAAAGAGAGAAGCTATTCAATATTCAGCTGCAGTTGACCTGTTACTTATGGAAGGTTGAAGAAGAAAACCAAAATCTTTTGACATGATCAATCACCTGAAAGAAGAAAACAAAAACTAAGTGATTTTCTAGAACTAGAACTATGTAGCAATAATGTGATGACCAAAATTTTGGAAGAATGTAGTTACCTTGGGGGACTTGAAGATGGAGAATGGTTACTTGAAGCCTCATCTGGAAGGAGAGAATAAAAAGAGCTATGGAGATCAATAGTACCTTGGAGTAGACAGCAAAGAACTGTGAACTTCAGGAAGTTACTTGTTGCAAGTAGCTTGAGCTGAAAAAGATCAGCTGGAACTGTCTTGCACTGAGCTCAGAAAAGCAATTGGTGACATTAAACACATTTCATGCCTGCTAGCTAAGATAGAAAAATTTTCTTACCTGAAGGAGATCTGTGATTATCAAGCAGAGCAGCTGAGAAGAACCAGCCTAAAACTGCAAGAGAAAACATCAGAGAGTGATGCAAAGATGAAAAAGCTGAAAGAAGCCATATTTGAATTGGAAGATCAGGTGAAACAGCCCCAGGTGGTCAAGTTACACAACAGTCAGCTCTTTAGTGAGCTAGAAAGTTGTGTGATCAAGCTGGAAGAACAGATCTGAAATGGCAGCTAAAGACTGTGACAAAGCAGATAAGGGAAGAGACAGGCATGGAGGCAGTTCCAGGCAGACCTGCAGACTGCCCCTGTGGTGGCCAATGACATCAACTCTGAGACCCAGCAAGAACTACACACTGAAGAGGAGCCTGTTGGAGGAAGAATAGGAGGAGGATGTCAGGCTACAGAATGAGCTGGGGGACAAGCAGGGCACAGCAGCTCCCTATCAGCTAGCAGAGCTTTTGGTGGAAGAAACAGCCCCGCCTTTCCCATGATTGTAAACTACAGCCATTTCTCTATGAAAGAGGGACTCTGGAGAGGAGAAATTACCATTTTACCTAAAAGAGTCCAGTGATCTCCTACATTATTCACTGTTCAAATAGTGGCACGTTGCAATCAAGTCCCTTTACTTTTTTGTACATTTTCAGATCCAAGATTAACCTTAAATCTTTTTTTCCTCCAAGAGAAGATTCAGTAATCTCTTTTTTGGAGAATGAAATGAAGTTCTGGAAAGTTATAAGTCTTTCATGTAATTTTTTTTTTGTACCAGGGATTGAACTCAGGACCTGAAGCTTTCCAGGCAGTGCTTATGCCCCTGAGCTAAACCCCTGGCAAAATATAAGTCTTGTGAAAAAATATTTCATATGTTCTTTGAGAAGAGTAGCATAGCAAATTCCAAGTGGTAGTGAATGCAGCCCATGTATGGGTTCTGCTTTTTGGTATTTATTTTCATGCTGTTTGTTTGAATATAGGATCTGGTAATCTTAAGAGTTGACACAGTTTAAGGGAAAATAAGAAGCCATGTGCCTGATGTCTTATCCTGAAGAATTTAGAAAGCTTTCCTCCTTAAGCCAAGGCTTGCACCTCAGTCTGTGCAAGCTGAGGTATTATTTCATTTGAAACAAACTGCAACTGAGCTCTGGTTTGATTTCCAGAATCTTTGTTGGGTTAAATATAAATAGATGTTGTGTTGAAAATAAAAAATGTAGTTAGCCAGATAAGTATGTGCAGTGACAATGCTAACCAAAAAACTAATGAAGGACAACTTACAACAAAAGCCTCATCAATAAATCTTATCTTGGAAACTTAAAGACTTTAAAAGCAGAAGAGTACAACTCAGAGTAATCTGGAATTCAAAGTATGACTTCAACTTTTGGGAAGTACAAACATTTGTGAAGATCTATAGATTCAATTTAGCAGACTATCAGTGAAAAACCTACTACTCTACTTATGTGAGGAACATTTTACAGTAAATATAGCATAGGGCCATTTGCTACACACAAAAAATTAGGATTAAGCATGTACTGTAGCTGGGGATTTAGCTCAGTGGCATGAGCACCTGCCTGGCAAGCGCTAGGTCGTGAGTTCAATCCCTGGTGCCAAAAAAAAAAAAAGTACTGTAAACTCAGGAAGACATCAAGTTGGAGCATATAGGCTCACCAGAACAATTTAGCTTGCATGAGATAGAAGAAATATTGATGTCCTTTTTATGAAAATAATTAGATACTGGAATTTTCTTCATATTTTGAGAGATCTTTACCTCAGGTTGAAAATTCTTAGAACTGACTTAAAATGCACTTGCTGAGTGTTTTCTACTCTAGACTATAAGAAAAATGTGGGCCAGGGGTTTAGCTCAGCAGTGTAACTGCCTGCTTGGCAAATGTGAGGTCGTGAATTCAATTCCTGGTACACCCCTACAAAAGAATGCAACGTCAACTTAAAATGCATGGCTATGTTAGTTTCATATTTTGATCTGTCTTTACTCTTGATATTATTGAATTTTTTATACATAAGCATTTATGAAGTGCTAAATAAATGTTACTTCTTTTAAAAAGTTAATTAAGAAGCAGGCTTTTTCCCGATGTGTACATCTTTGCTGTTTTAACTTGGTTTATTCAGTCTTCCTGTGGCTCAAAATTTTTCCAGGGTTATTTCAGTGAGAGAGTACTTGCCTGGAGTATTCAAGGTCCTAGGTTTGATCCCCAGCACAATAAAATAAATAAATATTTAGAAATAAAAATTTCTGGGAGAAACAGCAGTTTCCTGCTGCTTTCTCCATACATGATACCAGAGTATAAGTATTTTGATCACTGGGCTAGTTATAAAGTGTCTCTCTTATCAACCAAAGAGAAGTAACCCAATATAAGAGGCACAGTAGGCTTTGTCTATAAGAACTACTAGAGTAAAACCATTGTTATCACAAGAGAAAGGGGACAGAGTAATCTTGAAAGTAAGACTTTCATGTTTGAAAACTATTTTGGATTTTTACTGTCCTTTCCAAATATCAAGATGATTCTGTCACAGTACAATCTATGGAGACCACAATGAATCAATAAATGGATTTACAGAGTCGGGGAGCAATGCCAAGCTACAGTCAGGAGATCTAGAACTTCCACAAGAATTCATGAGGTGCTAAACTCCCAATCTAACATCCTTTTTCCCTATTAGGGAGAACCAGTAGGTTTAGTATCACTAAGGAGTGTGCTCCATGGAAGCTACCTTATAGCAATAAAACATTTCTTGAGCATTTACTCTATGCTTGACGTTATTGCATTGCTCTCTCCTAATGAGGGTAGTTGTCTTGCCATGCTGGACACTAGGTTTTTTAAGTTGTTGCAATATGGTTATGGAACTGCAAGTTAATATCCCCGCTTCCATCTGGTTTTCCTTTTTCTTTGATCATAGTTATTTAAGTATATTTTCAGAGCTTGAAAGTCATAGTCGTTGGAAAACACTTTATTTTTTTTTATTAGATGGTCCTAAAGAAGCATTAGATCTGTGGGAAGCAGGTAGGTTTTAAAATTCTAAGTCAGTGTTGCACACGCCTGTAATCCCAGCACTTGGGAGGTTGAGGCAGGAGGGATGTCACTGGTTTGAGGTCAGCCTGATGTACATATTGAGACCCTTCCTCAAAAAGCAAAACAATTGCTGGTGAGCCAGGAAGAGAACCAGTCAGCGTCTCCCAAGATCCAGCCATGTTGGAACTTAGGGCAGCTGAGCAAGAAAGCAACCCGCCTGCTTTCCTGGTAAGCAGCCATGGCATGAGTGAGGGGCAGGCGATCCAGGAAGAGAACCAGTCAGTGTCTCCTGTGAGCAGGCTGAGAATCAAATATCCCACCACCACCCCAATCCATCTAACACCCCCCCCGCCCCTTAGCAACTGGGAGCCAGAGGTCTGAGCATCTCTTGGGAGGATGACCATATGCAATGTAGCAAATATGGGGAATTTCCTTCTATCATCTCTTTGAAGGCAAATACTGTTTTCACTGTTTTGTTTGTCCTGATTAATTGCTCTATTCAATATTCTGTTTTAGACCAGGGGTTTAGCTCAGTTCCTGCTTGGCAAGTGCAAGGTTGTGAGTTCAATCCCCGGTACCAAAAAAAACAAAAACAAAAACAAAAAACTCTAGTGCTTAATTCAGTATTCTGTTTTGATAGGTTTTATAATGTTCTGGTTTTGGCTTGATTTTGCTATACCTGATTGAACAGCTATTGTGAAGATAATGAGGTATACTATGGTACCTACTACTGTTTTCCAGGTATCCTGCTGTGAGGTTCTATACCAATTTCACTGCATTGTCTCGATTGGCTTTGTTCTGTCTTGTTCTGTTGTATTTTACTACCTTCAAAAATAAAAAAAAAAATAGATGGAATAAAAAAACCAATTCTGAGTCAGTGTTGGGGTGACCCCGATCCAAGAGAGAGAACCCAAAAAGCAAAAGACTACAGTGGCTAAAGAATGTAACATATAACTCAGTGACTTGTATCTGGAATACATAAAGCTCAATGCAACCTAAATATTATTATGTATCTTTTTGCCCTTTATTGGGCAGGGAGGGTTAAATATTCTTTCATAAAAATTTAATGGCATTACAGTATGCTCTTTTATTACCCACTTAAAATATCTGAAGAAAGGGGCTGGAGATTTAGCTCAGCGGCATAAGCGCCTGCCTTCCAAGCAGGCAGTCATGAGTTTGATCCCCAGTACCGATAAAAAGGAAAAAGAAAAAAGACCAAAAAAAATCTGAAGAAAAATAAAAAGAGGAGGGCAATGTTCAAATGTAATGTGTTGTGGTTATGTAGATTTTATTCAAACATAAGCAAAATTTCTTGTCCAGTTTACAATAGAGTGGGGATAAGGAACAGATATTTAACAAAATAAGTAAACATTATCATTTCAGAAGGAGAAGACAGGCACAGAAAAATCAGCAGAGAAGTAAGTTTGCCACTGCTGAGCAGGGAGGCATGGAATTGCCGATACAGATCCGTTTGAAGAGCTAGGGAAGGTTGCTGCTCACCCTGTGCCAGTGTGGCAGAGGCTTCAGCCAGATGCTGTGAAGAGCAAGTATTTCCCCAGTTCCTTACCTCAAGTCTACGGGAACCTATCTCAGTTTAACAACCTCACACTACATACATGTTGTCCACCTCTTCCCACCCCTCAGCCCCATGCAGTTGATTCTGCCAAGTTTATTGAGATCCAGGATTGCTTCTTCCCCTACTATTTTCCAGAGTACTTCAGAAGTCTCTGTCACTCACCTTCACTCTCTTCATTCTGTCCTCTGTTCTGCCACCAAGTGGTCTTTGATAAATGCAGCACATTCCTAGCTAGCAGATAAACTTCAGACTCCCAACATGTTCCCACAACTTGATACCCATGGCTTGGTTCCTCCCCTTTTCATGAATTTTCTCTTGCCCTTTCCTTTAGTATATGTTAGTTTTTTAAAGTTACAGCGAATTATTTATACTTTCTAATGCACCCAGTGCTTGATTTCCCTGCTCTTGGACAATTCTGAGTTTGGAATTTCCCATTATCTGTCTTTTAAACTGCGACATATCCAACAAACGTCTACCTCCTGCCAGATGTAATGGCACACACCTGTTCTCCCAGCTACCAAGGTGGCTGAGATAGGAGTATTAAAAATTCAAGGCCAGCCTGGACAATTTAGCAAGACGCTGAATCAAAAAATAACATAAAATAAAAAGGGCTGAGCACTTACTCAAGGCTGAGCACTCACTCAGTGGCAGAGCACTTACTCAAGGCCTTGGGTTCAACTCCTAGTAACCATAACACATGCAGTCACGCATGCACAACCCACACTTCACAGCACAGTCATTAGGGTGTTGCACACTCTTTCCTAGTAGTGTTGGTTGGTCCTTCTTTCCTTGGTGCCACGGCTTGTGTCTGAGAGCACTTGTAGGATGCCCATTAATACAGTGATTGTACCTTAGGCATCTTCATATTCCCAGTAGCTAGTCCAGTAACTGGCACATAGTTCGAGCTTCATATTTATGAGATTGATTCAGGACGTATTACACTTAGGGTGAGTAATAGACACTCAGAGAAATATCATCAGAGTGGTGGCAATAATCAAAAGATCATTGCAATTTTTCATTCTTATCCAGTGTTTATACACTTAATCTACCTGTTTTTGCACTTAATATTTTGGGGGAAATCTAGTGAATGAACCTTGGGGAAACATTTTCTAGTGAATATCCTCCTGCTTATCAACTGTCTCTCCCCCATCACCACTCCGTGCTGGGTATCAACCCCAGGGCTTCGGATATGGCTCTGCCACTGAGCTATCTTCCTAGCCAGTACCTCATGCATTACTGCTGAAGGCATCCCCCAGCAGGACAGTAGCGCTTTAGAAACAGAACTTCTTAAAGTGAAGACAGGGAGGGCTGGACACTTGCTGAGGTCCTATAAGGTGCAAAGGAGCTAGAGAGGAACACTTCTGCAACGCAGCAAAAGACAAGCCCTGCGGGTGGCCAGCGAGGGGTGCAGGGGAGCAGGACTACAGGAGCTGGGCGGGACGGAGAGGCAGGAAGGGGCGGGGAGATGAGGCGGAAGGGGCGGGGCTGAGCAGAGTGGGAGGGACGGGGCGGAGCGGTTGCTGAGGCGGGCAGTTCAAACCGAGGAGGGTGAGGCGGCGGCCGCGCTTGGAGCTGAGTGCGGGTGGCTATAGCCCACGTCCTCGGGGACGAGGCTAGCCTCCTCCCTGTGTGCCCGGCCGCGGCCGCCTGGCGCTCAGCCGCCCGACCCTCAGCTACCCATCCGCCCGGTCTCCAGGTGCGCGGAGCGGGCCCAGGTGTGTGCGGGTAGCGGCCTCGCAGGCGCCGCCCTCGGCGTCCGCGGCCAGGGCCTGAAAGACCGTTACCCGCCCGCAGCCCGCAGCACCCCCAGAGGCCCGAATGTGGCGCCCCTGGTTCCCAAGCCCAGGTGCAGAGAACGAGGGCGTTGAGAGTAAGGCAGTTCAAAATGAAGGACTCGGGCTTTTCAGAGTGCGGGGAATGAGCCCCGCAGCGTGGGTTTTAGGTTCCCTCTCAGCCTTAGCCTTCCAGGGCGGCTGCACGTTTCAGTGAACTGTTTAAACCCGAGCTTTTAAGTGACATTCGCTTGGCGTGACTTTTAAGGGCAAGCATGTGAGGTTTTCTTTGGTTTTGGAAGACTACCTAATTTTGACATCTAAGAGCTCCATATTGACGGATGGTAAGATTTTTCATTTAACCGATGAAGGAAATTTGGATTTAATGTGACAAAATAATTTCCATTCTGATTTAATAGTCCCCGGCCCTTTAAAGAAAAACTTTAGATATACGTGTTTTTAGTTCTTTGCAGGAATCTAGTTTTAAATGCGTATCAGAGATTCTTATTTGGTTCATCAGTGAATTGTAAAATAAGTTAACGGATTTTCTATGATTTTTCCGTGAATGATTTTTAAAATTAAGTTTTTACGAACCAAGTTTTGAGACCAACGTCTTGGAGTAGTCGAAAGTTAAAAGTGACAGTAGGGAAAGCCTAAGGTCAAGAGGAGGAGATATTTGCATCCCTACTTTGTATCCAATATTTTGCTCGTTTCCCAATTTCTGGCATGGGTGCGACATCTAGTGGTGAAGTAACTGAATAGTAAGTTTGTTTTAATTTAAAAGACCTAATCAGCAAATTGAAATTGCTGAAAATTGTTACTTAAAAGACATTCTTGCCAGATATGGCGGCACAAAACATAATTCTGAGAAGAGGCAAAGATCCGTGGATGGAGATTTAATTTGAAAACATTATACCTTATTAGTCTAATATCTAAAAGGAAAATTTTAAAGTATAATGCAAATTGTAGAAAGCAAAGTTTGATAATCTTGACTCCTAAGCATGTACAAAATGTGATCGCAAGGGAACATGTGTGAGAATTATCAAAAAAAGAAGTGTGAAGAGTTAAATACTTTCTTCAGTGGAATGATCTAATGGTCAGTATGCCATAAATAATTTTGTGTCAAGTGTGGCAATTTTCTTTTGTAACATGCTCCTTCACCCATGTGTATTTAACCGATGTAACATACCAATAAATTATAGTCCCACTGATGTTAACTAAAATATATCTTCTTGGGATCTTTTAATGAAGAAAATGCATGTATTTGGCCTGGAAAAATTTTTAAATGAAATATAATTTTTAGTGTTTGTTGAGTAATTTGGAGAAATACCAAAAACAGCTGTGACTTTCTTATAGTAGCATCTTTTGAGATAAGATTTAATTGAAGTTTCTCTATAAAACATAATAGTGTTGAAAAAAATTGAGTAAAATATTTCCTAGGGTAATTCCTTACTCATGCAACTGTTGAGTTATTGTTCTTTAAGTAATTGATTTGAATTCCTTATTTTCAACTTTGAGAGTATTATAAAGAGTAGTTTTCTGACAAATAGTTGTCTATTATTTGTGACTTCAAGACTGCAGTAGGACATTACAGTATTTAGTAACTAAAACATAAGTAAGTATAAAATGCCATTTAAATTGACTTTATATCTAAGGCACAGTAGTTGCTTTGAGTTAGATCAAGTAGAAAGTGTCAGTAATTTGTAAGTGAGGCAAAAAGTTGTGTAAATATAGAAACCTTAGAATTTAGATTTTGTGAATGGCCATACGTACTGGATTTCTGCAATAGGCCTTGTTATATGTATGTTCATTCTCATTATTATCATGTGGGTTTTTGTTTTTGTTTTTGTTTTTTTCTTAAGGTTTCGCTGTGTAGTTCGGGCTAGCCTTGGGCTCATTTTATAGTCCAGGCTGATCTCGAATTTGCAAACAATTCTCCTGCCTCAGCCTTCCAAGTGCTGGGATTACCGGAGTGCCTGACTTTATTCTCATTATTATATACATTTCCCAAAGCCCTGTTTAAAAAGTAACATAATATTTTAAGTAGCTTTATTTACATCCTAGAACTTTTAAATCAAATCTGTACTTTACTAATATAGCCCAGGAGGAATAATCTAGAATATTAAACTAAAATTGCATGGTTTCATGCTGTTAAAATCATAAAATAATCTAAAAATGAATCTGCTAGATACTGTTAAAAGAGTAGTCCAAGAAAATATTTGTGCATGGTACTTGGCCTAGAATTTAGTCAAGTAACCTGGAAGTTTTGGTGTTATTATACCAAGAAGTTTTGCTAAGTAGAATGTGTAACAGTACAATATATTGTGGGATAGATTTTTTAAGTGAATTTTTATAAAATTGTCAATTTTCCATTATTTATACACAAAATGAATAATGTGGTTTGGAGAAAGGTAACCTGGCTACTCATTTCAAAAGAAGACTGAAATGTTTTACTCTGCAGAAGCACGGAGTTTGAAGATGTCGCGAAGGCATTCAGCCAGCCCTGGAGCAGGGAGTGCGGTGGCCTCACCTGTTGAGTTCAAGTACTCCAGCCTCCGAGATTTTGGTTCCACATCTTCTTGTGAAGACAGTGGCCATCCTGAGTTGTCAAGATCTCGCAGCTTTGATAATGCAGATAAAGAATTTTTTGGAAAGAAAGAAAAGGACCCAGTATTAATCCACAAACACTCTGAAATTTCAGGCCTGGGCTCAGTAAGTTCCCTAGAGTCTCGTGCTCGAAGAAAAAAATTCGTCTCTTCTAGGAAGGAAAATGATAAGACCCCAGAACTATGTGAAACTCCTAAAATTGGTGGGAGAAAATCTTTACCACGTAGAAGGTTAGATATATCTTTCTCTCTTCTAGAGAAAGACTTTGAATCACAAAACAATTCTCAAAGAAGTATAAGTCAGGTTCTCAATTTAGAAAAAAGTATTCCTAACAGTGCTTTGGATTTTCCAAGACAAAATAACTTTAGCCCTTTGGTTACTAGCAGTATAAGTTCAGAAGAAGTGACTTCTAGCAGTCAAACCTTAAGACTAAGTTTTTCTCAACACAAGACTTCCACGATTGATGATTCCAAAGATGATTGTAGCCTATTTGAAGTTCAATGTATATCTCCAATTCAGGGCAATAATTTTAAAGATTCAATCACACATGACTTTAGCGATAGTAGTTTAAGTGTTAGTGATGAAAATACGTATCCTGAACTGGGCTCCTCTGGTAGTAGAACAGCCATTAGCAGAGATGAGGACATATTTGTGACTCCAGTAAGTAATTTTGCAGCAAACATTAAATTTGCTCGAAGTCAAAGACTTTCTCCTTCAGTTGAGGTGAGAGGCAATATTTCCACTCCAGAAGACAGTGGTTTTAACTCACTGAGCTTGGATAAGTCAGAAGATTCCTTTTCTGATCAGGAGGGTTCTTTTCAAGAACTATTTCAGAAATATAAAGGGACTCGCAATGTGGGAGACACCATAAGAAGGTCAGGGTGTCTTGGAAGATCAAGAAGACTGTCCACACTTCAGGAGCAAAGCTCACAGTCAGAGACAGAGGAGGAAAAGCACATCATCCACCCCAACTTTGAAACAAGTCCGGCAGCTGCGTCACACATCTTGGAGAGTCAGCCGAGCACTGATAATACGAGTAGGGATTTGACTTTAAACTTATCAAACTTATCAAAGACGCCAGCCTTGCAATTAGTGCACGAACTCTTTATGAAGAGCAAAAGGAAAAGATTCCAGGGAAAGGATACAGATGAATTCTTAGAAGAAAGGGATGGGGGGAAAATAGCTGTACTGCAATGTGCTCTTGCTGGATTGATCGGAAAGAAGATGGGTATAGAACAATTGGACATTTTATCAGAATTAAAGTATAGAAATTTAAAGCATATCCTTACTATGGTTTTAGATTCCTTGACTGCAGAGAGCCTATACAGGTAAGAAATTAAACTTATCTATAATAAAGTTTTTATCATTTTTTAAGTCGGAAGGTTTTTCTGCTTGAGTGGTTATCCCACTTTTGTTTGTGTTTTCATTATTTCTATCTTTTGTTGTCTTACATTGTATCAAAAATAGTTTAAGTATCCTTCCCAGAAGAGCTTGCTAGTGTAGTCTCTCCTGTCTGAAAGTCTGCTTTAGAAGCAATGATAATCTTTTTCTGGATAATTCTTATCACTGTTCTTATCATTTGGAATGAGAGTTCCTCAAAATTGAACTTTAAAATTTTAAAATGGCAAAGTTTATTTCATAGATTGTTTAATGATGTATTTAAGAGTTCCTATGCTATTGTTAGATCCAAATTGTCTTCAAGTTATGACACTTGTTTACAAATAATAGTATTGCTATAAGAAATAACTATATATATTAGATACCATTTAATTATTTAACCCAAGTGCTAGAATTCAAGAACACTGGTAAGCTTTCCTTTCTAGAGAGCAAGGGAGTGTATGTTTATTGGTAACGTTACTGCAAGCAGTTAAGTTCTTTTGGGAAATTAGAAACTGAAGAATTTGCGTTCACAGATTTTCATAATTGAAAAGAAATTAACTGATACATTTAGGAGAATGGGGGAGGTAGGATTGTGAAGATTTGCAAGAGCTTTCCTGGTAGTGATGTAGAGCTTCAGGGTTATCAGAAGACAAGAGCTTCAGGATTGCCACGGCCAGGGCAGTGGGAAGCCAGGGGGCACCCAGGCCAAACCATGGTGATTCCTTCCAAAGCCCTTCTTCACCCTTCTCCCATACAAGAAGTGTAGGCTATGGTGGAGAATGGTAGTATTTCATAGCTGGAAGTCTTCTGAGATATCCAGGCTAGCCATGTATTTTGGTTAGAGAAACAGTCCCAGAAAAGTTAAGTGACCTGCCCAGCAGTGACTCAGAGGCATAGGAAATAGATGTAGCTCTACAGCTGAGCTCTTTGATTTTCACCTAACATTTCCTATCAACTCTTAAAGTCTAAGGCCTTTCAGAATAGACTGTGTAACCAGACATGGTGGTACACCCTTATAATCCCAGCAATCAGGAGGCTGAGGCAGGAGGATTGCCACAAGTTCAAGGCCAACCTGGGCTACATAGTGATTTCAAGGCCAGCCTGAACTACATGATAAGACTCTGACTTGTAAAACTAAAAACAAAAACAAAGAAGAATAGACTTTGTAGCAAATGGATTTGGTGTCACCCAAGTAGGATAATAAACAGATTGACACACCCTGGTGTATCTTTTAAATTTTTCAAATTATAAATTGTTTGTTTAAAAATGAAGGAAATATAGGAAAATTTTTCAAATTATAAATTGTTTGTTTAAAAATGAAGGAAATATAGGACTCTTTTTTTTTTTTTAAATACGCTGGAGTATTTGAATGTGGGCCAGTTAAAGAGTTGGGTGATGCCTTAAAAAGTGCTTGTGGGCACGAGCAGCTGATAGTCATGTTTCAAAACATCTCCTGTTGCCCACCTTTAAAATTCAGTGTTTGCGGAACACTGCAGAATGTGAATGTATTATCTTACCAGTGTTGTTTTTGGTAACATGAGTGATGATGTCAGTTAAAACAGCTATGGAGAATCCCCAATTATATCATTTGTTTCCCCATTAATGGGCAACTTTCTGCCTGTTTCCTGTCTGATGTAGGCACATACACGGGTTTAGAGAGAGGCAGTAGCAACTGAGGAGACATAGCTACAGAGAAACAGTAGCATTGACAACTGAAGCATTGCCTGGCCGCCCCAAAACAAGTGACTTTTTTTTCAGTAATCTAATCTTTATACCTATAAGTGATTTATTAAATGAGACTAATAAAAAGGCAAAGTTAATAGTTGAGAGATTATTTTTGATTTAGTAATTAATATAGTCAAAATCAATAAATAAGCATTCTCCACCATATCCTACACTTCCTGTATGGGGAAAGGAGAAGAAGGGCTTTGGAAGGAATTGCCATAGTTGGGCCTGGGTGCCCCCTGGCTTCCCACTGCCCTGGCCATGGCAATCCTGAGGTTCTTGTCTTCTGATAACCCTGAAGCTCTCTCACATCACTACCAGCTTTTTTGTCTCTCGCTATTTTATTCTCATAACTTTGATGAATGAAATAGGAGCTTTGTAGTGCTACCCAAAATTGTATCTATTCTTCTAATGAAGGATAAATTGTTCTTATGTTAATTTAGTCCAAATGACAGAGCTTTGCTAAATACAGTAATAGGAGAAAACAAGCAGGACATACTCCTGCAGTTCCAGCCCTCTGGCAGGCTGAGGCAGGAGGACTACAAGTTCCAGCCCAGCCTGGCACTGTAGTGACCGGGGGAGGCCCTGTCTCAAAATGCAAAATGGGCTGGAGACGTAACTGAGTGTGAAGGCTTCGGGTTTGATCCTCAGCACCCCACCCGCCAAATAAATGGGAAAATGATTTAGCATTCTTGTGCTTCAGATGATAATCATTTGCTGCATTTGTGTTTCACATTTGTAATCTTAGTGTCCTATTATCTTCATTTCCCAGTAGACTCATTTGGCCTTTACATGACCATTTATAAAGTAGTGACATGTTAAAATAATGCTAGCGTATGCTTAACATTTTAACAGGAATCCTCCCACATAGTGAATCAGCGTGAAAAATGATACCATTCAGGTCATATTTTTAATGAAAATTCTTGGTTTAAATTTAGTGAGCAAAATCTTGAAAACAATTTTTTCTTATTAATGATCATATATAAAATGATCATCTTTGGGGATACAAGCAATATAAGGACTCATCTTTTTTATTTTAGTGTTTGGAATGTCAGCAGAAATTGGCGTGAAATTGTCATTCAAGATAAAAAAGCAAATCGGAGGAGGAAGCGTTATATCATACAACTGAAAGCAGATTCTGAGGTAATGTAGTAATGCTTTTCTAAAGTGAATTTTTACACCTATCTAATCATTCTGTATCACTGGGCAACTAATTAGGTTTCCTTGTTATCTTTTAATCTTTTCCATTCAACACATACTATGTTTTCCAAACTCCACTGCCACCTCTATACATAAAATGGTGCAGACCACTGAGCACCATGGATATCTCGTTGGGTATATTACTGTTTACACAGATCTGCTGTGGACAGCTGTGGAATGCCAATGATGTGCTGAGTGGTCATAAGAATTGCATACATCTCATTTTTATCCAGTCTTTTGAGTGCATATTACAAGCCAGCAAACCATGCCAAGTGCTTGAATGCCAATAATATTTCAGATACAGTCCTTACTCACCTGGAGCTCTTTCCAGGAGTGGTACAAGTAAACAGGTGACTACAATATAGGGGTGTCAGAAGTCAGGAGTTCTACAGGATAGTTAAAGGAGTGTTGGACTAATACTGGGGAGTCAGAAGTGCATTCTTCAGCTGAGACTGAACAATGAGGTGGCAGGTAGGTGAAGGAGAAAGGGGAGAGAATTTCATTAAAATGTGTAGTGAAGGGCATATGTAGAGCCCTACATGTGGGTGAGGTGGGTGAGACTGGCAGTTAGCATTTGATGCATGATAACCTTGTATTCCTCTGAGGATTTGAGGGCTGGCAAGAAAAGTCCTGTAAAAGCTGACAAATTCCTTACAAGGACACTGCTTTTTGTAACTGATATCTGATGACCGCCACCCATATTGCTTGTAGATTCAACTTTTGGCATCGATGCCAAAAGAAACTGTTTGCTACTTTATTCTTGTTATAGTAAAAAGTATTTAATAATGTACTAAAGTACATTGCTATTTTGATTGCATATAACAATTGAGAAAAAACATGGAATAAACAAATGTGAACACCTAAATACACATTGATGGGTTTCTTATTTCAGAATATTACAGATTCCTATTAACAAAAACTTTGAAGAAAAGTTTCATCTTCTCTTTGGAGATGTTTCCTTGTGACTTAGGGCTCCTGGCCACTTGCTGCTGTAGCGCGTGGCCCTGGTAGATCCTAACAGTGAAGATAGAAGATTGACTGCCTTTCTTTTAGAATGATGCTTTATATACAGGGGACAAACCTAAAGAAAAATCATTTTTAAGCAAGCACCTACTAACATTTAACTTTTAGTCTCATACACTGCTTAACTCACCTAAGGAAATAAACTGGATGTGTTAGCAAGCCCTCAGGTAATTCTGGATAAAATGTTCTCTTCTCTTACCTAAGCCATCATTGCTTTATTTATTTATACTTTTAAAGGGAATAAAACAGAACAATAAAATGAAACAAAACAGTGATAAGACAGTAGGAAATCCACAATACTTACTGTATTGCATGCTGTTAACCACTAAATAGTTGCTCAGACCACCAGCTTTGGGTTTGCAAAGTCAATCAAACAATACAATTATTAGGTTGTTTCTCTCTCTCAGTTGTTATCATCTCAGCCTGTGTTCCTCCAAATCAGTCAGCTGCTTCGGTGAGAGTGGTGGTCTTCTTTCTCAGCCCCCTGGCTGGATGGCTCACAGGATGGGCAGGGGGTCCTTACTGGTTCTCGCAGCCAATGTGGCCACTGCTCACACACAGGGCACTGCATGTCTCCCTTCCTGATTCTCCCCTGCCTGCAGGGCCCTCACTGGCACATAATGGGGCTGCGTAGCTACCTTCCTGGCTCTCCCCAGCCAGTATGGGAGCCATCACTTTTAAAATCTTGACTCTTTAAATGTCCATACTTTTTGTTTTACTATTTTTCTTATTTTGGTTTGTTTTTAAAAATTCTTTTAAAGTAATATAAGTACATTGTTTAAAAAATGAAATTTTATTATGAGGCTTAAAAGAAAACATACTTTTCTCTTGCCCTGTTATCCTTTCCTACTCTCAATTTTTCCACAAGACAACCACTTTCTTTAGCATTTCTTATAGTATTTACTTCCATATTGAATTTCCCAATAAAATTCAGAGATTGATGTTTACATTTTTTCTAAAGGATTAGTTCTCTAATAACCTCTCACTGCTACTTCCATGACTTTCCTAATTCAACCCAAATTCTCTTCCCTATTCTATCATAAAACTGTAATTATACCACAATTTGAGAGTGAATTAGAATTAGATCATGGCATTATTGAGACAGTATTGAGAATATTATGACTTGTATACTATGATTACACTTTCTTTCCTGGCTTTTGTTAATTGCTCCCCTCTCCTCTCATTTGCTTAGTGTTTCTCTGTATGGATACCTAATTAATCTCCCATTGTCCACCAGAACTGAAAATCTCCTCTATATAAACCCAAACAAATCAGGTATTCTACCTTTTCCTTTTTTTTTCTAAGGCCCATGCCCTCCTGTGCTGAAATGTTTGCTTTCTACCTGAGTAGTCCTAATGTCTGTATCACTAACCAAAACAGAAAAATTATAAAACAAAGATGTTTGGTGATTTTTCTCATTACTTGTACATGGTATTAAAAAGTCCTCTGTGTGGAAAGTGGAGGACACAGATTAGGAATGCGTAAGGGCAGCTCAGCTTTATCTGTTTGCTTTGGAGCAGTGAGAGTGAGCATCAGCACTGGAGTGCCACGTTTTTTCGTTGAATTTCTTCATTCATTCACTCTCCTCTCCTGTTACTGGGAATGAATGGCTGGTAAATAACTGCATTCTAAAAACATTTGAAATCTGGTAATGTGACGATAGCTATGTTTGAAGAGTTTTGGCACTCATGAGTGTGTGCTTTTGTTGACTGTTTTGCCTCTTATTAAAAATAGCATACCTTTTAAGCTCCAGGAGGATCATGCTGTGTTATTCACTTGGCACCTGTTAGGAGTTCTATAAATATTTATCAAGTGAATAGCTGTTTATTCTGTGGCTGAAATTTGCTTCAACAACATACCTTTATTCATTTTTTCTGCATGCACACTGTGTTTACCAGCTGCTAACTAACTGTATTAACCAGTTATCAAAACAAAATGTATGATGGATGAATTTCCTTAGATGACCAACTATAAATTGTGTACCCTCTCTCTCAGAGTTTAAGTGTAGTTGCAAATAATTTATATAAGTAAATATAAGAGATTGTATAGAATTTTTGAGTAAATTAAAATTTTAACTCTCTTCATTTAATTTCTGAAGGCCAATATTTTTGTTACTTTTATGCATTTATTTTTAAACTATTAATCTTGTAATTTCTTTATGACCCACTAACTTCATTTACTATAATTATCCTAAAATACTTTATTGTCTTTTACCTCTCTCCAAAGTCAAGATCCGAATTACGGTATAGGAGATGTTGAGAGAGAGGATACACAATTTATAGTTGGTCATATAAGGAAATTCATCCATCATACATTTTGTTTTGATAATTGGTTAAGAATGTCAATTTCTTAACAAAAGAACTACTGTATTTTTCCATTACCCACCTCAATGAAGTAGAAGCCTGTAAGGATCACTTGTTGGACATTTTTTCATTCCCCAGAATTATTAAGATGTAATTGGTGATAAGAATAGTATGTTTTTAAGGTATATGGCTATTATATTTTCTGACTATTTGAGTAATATGGGAATTGATTCAAATGATTTGTTTTGCTCCTCCGAAAATACCAAAGCTATTTAAAACTTTATTATAAAAATAAGGTATTTTACAAATATCTGCACGCAGATATTTGTAAAAACTCAGTTAAAGAAATTAAGTTTTAAGGCATAATCAGTTCCTCAGTGGCTAACTTTAAAATGTCAAAGAATGCCATTGACCTCCAATGGCAAATCTTCAAAAGATTCATCTCTTTTTAGACCTTGGTTTAAAACAGTTTGCAAACTACAGACTGCAAGCCTGTCAGCCGTATTTTAAAGTAAGTTTTACTGGAACACAGCCTGTCTTTCATTTACCTATGTCCACAGCTGCTTTCTCTATAGCTGCAGACTTGAAAAATTGCCACTGTATGGTCAGCAAAATAGTATCTGGCTGTTTACAGGAAATATTTGCCAAGTCACAACTTTAAATAAATAGAAGAATAACTGATCATACAAGCTACAATTTATCAGTTAAATTTTTTCTTTTAGTTTTTCTGTGACTTACAAATGTTAGATGAGAAAAGTTTTCTTTCCTAAAAAGAAACGGTCCTGGGAGAAAGTTGTGAAGGTACAAACCACAGTGAAACATTTAAATCTGTGTGCACCAGAAGGGGGACCTGTCTGGGAAGTGTTTTGGTACTGCATGTTGACGACTCTTGTCTTTTGCCGCAGCGGGCTGTGTTAAATGTTGAGGATGCTGCCACTCGCCTCCATCTTTTAAATCGCTCGGCTTTAAGATCAGTGCAAGCACAGGCTCGGACACCCAGTTCTCAGAAAGAGCAAATCGCAATTTTGTCTCCTTGGGGAGAAGTTTTGACACCTGTGGCAAGCTCTGCACTTAGCCACTCAGGCAGTAAACAGGAAGAATATGTTAAGGTAAACATTTATCATGCATTATTAAGGATGAGTATTTACAGAGCTTGAAATAGAGTCTCTGTATGTGGTATATGACACCGGGAGACTGACCAAATGTGTGTGCTTCCACTGCAGGTCGCCAAGACACTTTTTATTGATGAGGCGCTGAAACCTTGCCCAAGGTGCCAATCCCCTGCCAAGTACCAGCCCTATAAGAAAAGGGGACTGTGTAGCCGCACAGCCTGCGGTTTTGACTTTTGTGTGCTGTGTCTGTGTGCTTATCATGGGTCTGAAGAATGCAGCAAAGGAACAGCAAAGCCAAGGAATAGAAAAGATGCCCTCCCAGGAAGTGCCCAGAGTAAACGGAACTTAAGACGACTGTGAAGAGACTTCAAAGAAGTGCTTCTCTGTGAAGAGTTTTATTTTTTTGACTTAAAATTATGACATTTGAACACATGCAAATCTTCCCATTAATGAAAGATAATGATTTGTTTCCTATTTTGTATATAGTTAATACATGTTGTTGCTTGTTTTCCTTAAAGGGATGAGTTTTGAAAAAAATTTATTTTACTATGTCATTTTTATGCATTTTAATAACTTGGTGTTTTAAATAAAGAATTTTGAGTGTTGTCATATATATGTATCTTACTGTTTCATGTAACCTTTTAAATTGTATTTCATCGCTATGCAGTGAAATATTCTTTAATCATTTATGAAAAAACAATTTTCCAAAACATTAAAAATTTTGGAGTTAAAATCAATGGTCTTATAAATTTGGAAAGTGAATATTTGAGTGAGATGATTTTTTTTTTTTTTTTGGTCCTTTTGAGACAGGGTTTCATTTTGCTGTTCAGGCTGGCCTTGAACTCACTTTGTTGCCTGGTCTGGCCTCAAACTTCAACCTTCCCAGTGTTGGGGTTACAGGTGTGTGCCACCATGCCTGACTTGACTAAAATAAATTATAAAAATGTTTTCAGAAGTTCCACTGAATTTACTGCATAATTTCCCTCTTTCTCTTCTTTGGCGTATTTTGATAGATTTCTGGTTAAGTCATGCAGTGGTATACTGGTTTGTGAACTCAATTCCTTCAATGATTCCAATTACAGAATTGATGCCACAGTTCTGGTTACAACCAAATTGCTAACTGTCCTGTATTGATAAAGAGACATAAAAAAGTAAATTATGGAGAATATGTGGTTATCCATAGTGGGAAGTTAATAAGCCCTTATAATTCATACATTTCAAAACATAGTTTTAAAATTTCTGAAACTATAGTTACAGATTTATTATTTTGACAAACTTGGAGTGGTTGGAAAAGAATCAGCTAATTTTTAAGAAAAGCTACTGAGTTATGATTATGTAGAATTATAGTGTACCTCGGTTTTAGTTCTCATTGGTGGCACAAAATACCCAACACCCACAAGTTTAAAGAAGAAAGGTTTATTTTAGCTCACAGTTCATAGAGATTTCAGTCCACAGTCAACTGGCTCCAAGGCAGCATGGCATGGTGAAGGAGAAACAGTCCTTAGCAAGGCAGGCAGAAGAGCAGCAAGCAGTGACCTTTTTATTCCACTCAGGCTATAAGCCTGTTGTTGGTGCCACTCATACCCAGTGAGGGTCTTCTTTTTTCTGTAGAATTTTTAAAGAGGGTAAACTAAACATATCAAAACAGAACTAAGCAGATCAAAGGAAAACAATGTAAGACACAAATTTCAAAGCAACACAACAGGAGACAAAAAAATAAGACAACAATAGACATACAGTGGCTACCATAATGTTTCTTGTTTTCTTCTAAATAGTTGTCTATATCTTCACACATAATGAATTCATACAAAATATAGTATAAAATTGATCAGAGTAATGAAGGCATTACAGGCCTTCAAAACCAGACAATAGGAAAATCAACAATGGCTGCCATAATGTCTCTTGTTCTCTTCAAGATAACTGTCCATAACTTCATGTATGTTGAGATTAAACAATACAAAATAGACTAAAACCACAGAGTGGCTCTTCTGTCTTTGGAAAATTCATTCAGCCACACTCCAAACTGCTAATCCAATCAATGGACTGAGCCAGTTATTACATACCCATAATCCATACTCACTGAAGATCTAGTCACCTCCTCATAAGGCTTGGGGGGACATCTACATACAAGCCATTACAACTCCTCCCCCCAAATGACTTGAGGTTGATTTATAGAACAGCAACAAAAAAATAATAAACTCTATTGCTGAATCAGTCTGTAAGGTCCAAAAGGAATTTGAAAATAGTTTTATAATTTTTCGTGTGTGTTTTAGGTAACTGCTAGGTGTACACAGATATTTGTGTTTACAACTACACATACAGATTTAAAGGTGGCTCTTACACATTAATAAGAGTAAAGTGCTAATTTAGATATAGATATGTTTGGAAAAATCTACCATTAATTTTAGGTTTTTGCTTAAATTGCTATAAAATTTTGGTTCACTGATATTAAATTTTATCTACATTATAATTCACTGGATTTTGGAGACAAAATATAAAAATTAGTAAACTGAACAAAATGTTAGTTGTATTTAATAAATTTTACATTCCAATTTATTTGTTTCTAACCAAATTCGGTTCTCTGTGTCTAGTTTTTTGAAACATCTCCCACATCAGGATCAACTTACTGCTTTACATCGTTTTTTTCAAGCTTACCTTTTCTGTTTTGTTTTGTTTTTTGACACAGTGTCTCACTATGTAGCACAGGCTTGCCTTAACTTGCTTATGCAACCCGGACTAGCCTCAAACAGCAATCCTCCTGCCTCAGCCTCCTGAGGGCTGGGATTCCGGGCATGTGCCACCACACCCAGCTAGGTTTAATTTTTTTTTTTCATAGAGAAGTTTCTTTGTTTTTAAGAAATTTATTCCAGTCATGGTTCTGTTACTGTATAAAGCCACCTCATTCACCTCACCAATTTATTTAATCCACACTACTTGCCTTTACTGTCTCTTTTGAGGCTCTAATGAAATTCCATCTTCAGCTGGGCATGGTGGCACATTCCTGTAATCCTACCTATATGGGAGGTTGAGGTAAGAGGAGAGCAAGTTGAGGCCAGCTCAGTCAATTTACAAAGATCCTGTCTCAAAATAAAAGATGTAGCACACAGTGCTTACCTAGCACATGTGAGGTCCTAAATTCAATTCCCAGCACACAGAATAAATAATAAAATAAATCTCCATCTGTGACATGGACATTTTTGTTATTTTATACTCTTTGATTTTGATTGCCACCTGATCTCAATGTCATTCCTGCAGTGACTTTTAAGATCTTAAAATCACATATCCAGTTTCTTGACTTTTTTAAAAAATTAAATGTAATGTTGTCTATGTCACTTAAATGCTCATATTTTCCAGTATCTTGAGAATTTTTACAATTTTGTTACAGAATAATGGGAAAGGAAGATAAACATTTCCGTGACATCCAGTTGTGCAGCATGACCTGGAATCCTGTTTCTAGTCCACCCTGAGACACTTTGGTGTTGTCTTTGGTCTTGCAGCCAGGTGCCTTCCAAGAATGGTCACATTTGTCATCTTGTCATTTTTAGCCAATTAGAATGAAGTAATTTTATCTGTTTGGTGGAGACAATGCGTTTTACTATACTATACATTTTACTATATTTAATTTTAAAGATAAATAATAAGCATGTTCTTTTGTACTGAAGATAGTTGTAACAATGTAAGCCTTATATTTCCAGTTTTACTTGAGATTTAAGTATTTTGATCAAGTGAACATGAGTAAAATAAGAACACTGTGCATGTGTGTGTGTACGCACATGAAAGCAAAATATTGGGGGATGAACCCAGGAGTTCCCATAACAGTACATCCTAGGCATCTTTTAAATTTTGAGACAAGTTCTCACTAAACCACTACATTGTCCAGGCCAGGCTTTGACTTTCGATCCTCCTGCCTCAGCTTCATAGGGTCCCCAGAGTGCCCAGATAGTGCACATATTTTATAATAAAATTTCCTAACGAAAAATATCAAAATAGGATTCAGAAGGGAAGTTTGTTTTTAGCACCATGACTTTAATTCAGAGGAAACCCACCAATTGTTTTACCTTCTACTGCTTTAGGAAGAGAATCTCTCAATCTGCCCCTCTCTGGTCCGATCCCTTGGCAGCCTTCCTAGCTAATGAGCAGGATTTTTCTATTTGCCTTTTTAGTTAAAATATACAACTATTTCCTAATTTCCATCTCCCACTTTGGAAAAGCTAATTAGAGACTTGCGTCAAGTAATAGAAAATGAAAACTCTAAGAACCATCTCGTCATTTTATAGTAGCTTTCTTGTAGGTACACACACAGATATTTACATTCACTCTAGTGATTTAAACAATTAAATCTTATTATGAATTTCTTTCTTTTTTCTGAAACCGTCTCGCTACATAGTCCAGGCTGGCCTTGCACTCACAGTCATCACCTGCCTCAGCCTCCCAAGATTACAGGTGTGCACTGCCCTGTTTTACTACAAACTTCTTAACAATGAGGGCTAAAGTTCTGTTAAGAAAATATTTTTGATACTTACTTGGCACCGTGTAAGCTGTTTTTATATTGCCTTTAAGTTTTGACAGAGCAAAAGTGTCATAAATTTATGACATAAAAATTAACTGAATATTTTCCTATTTATTATGTTTCTGGTTTGTATTGTTATTTTATTTTAAATTGCTTCTGGTTTAAAAAGTGTGATGTATGTGTTTACATGTTTTAAAGGATGGAGATACTCCATTATTTTTCTAGGCAAGGTAAATATTTCAAAGCTCACACTAAAACATTCCACCAGGGGGCACCAAAGATTCATTTATGATTATTTTGGCTTTTCTTCACAAAAGTAAATGTAGCTTTTATGTATTTGATGTTGATATGCTATGACATTGCCAAATACAGGAAGTGTTTCTGAGTTAATTTTTAAAGTGTATATAGATGAAATCTAAGGAATAGTTATTACTCAGAGTAGGTAATTAAAATATTTTAGCTGGCTCATGAAAGTGAACTTCTTTCCCAGATGCCTTCTAATAGAACACCTTGTTGGCTGGCTCTGATTTGTGCCTTGGCCATCTGTGTTTCCTTGCCCAGCAGCTCTGCACTCCTGGCTCTGTCCTCATGGACTGCGGAGCCAGAGAAGTGGAAGGAGCCTTGGAAACGTGGCAGATGAGAGCTGGTTATGAAAGAAGTGTCACGCTACCAGTGATTTCCCTCTGGCATCCGACTTCATGCAGAAAGGTAGTGCTTGGGATTTAGCCACACAGTACCTAGAATGCCGCCAACGCCTCCTAACAGGTCTCCCTGCTTCTCCTTGCTCCCTACTTGAATTTCTCCTAAATGTTCACTGCCAGGTCATTTGTATTAAAATGTGTCTCCGACCACATTGCTTATTGTTAAAAATACAGCAGAATTTAGGCTCTCCAAATGGTCCAAGTTTCTAACTATCTCTCCCATTTCGTACACTTTGTTCCAGCCAAATAGACTCCTTGCTATTTTCCCAAGAGATTTCTCCCACTTCCTTCTTCTCTTGCCATATTAAAATCTGTTACAATCTAGCTAATCCTTAGTTTGTTTCCATGAGTCACTTGCTGGTCTTGTCAACAAAATGAACATTCTACCTTTTTTGAATCTAGTGTTTATTTATCCATTTTTTTTCCTTTTTGGTCATATTTCACTCATATCTTGTT